GCCCGTCCTGTTCGCCCATCCCGAAGGCGGCCTTCAGCCGCGCTCCCGCTGGCCGCTGTTCCTGCCCGCCCCCTGCGCGCAGCGAGCTCACTCTGGGCCCGCACCCCTGGGCCCGCCCCTTGCTCTGCTGAGGACGGGCGAAAGCACCGGCGCGGGGGTGACCGCCCCACGGCCGGGCCGACGCCGGGGCCCCGGAACACGAGGCTGCACACACCGCGGCCATTTCACGTGACACGGCTCTGGAAATGTGTTCTAGGGTGTGAGCGGTCCCCAAAACGCGGCCTCGTAAGCCCTGGGAGTTTTATTCTGGTTCATTCCAGAAGTTTTTCGTCTTTTCCTCAGCTCCTAAACTCAGTCTGAACGCCCAGCTGAGTTTGGAATGAGCCTCGAGTCGTGAAAAACATAATTGGCTTCTGGGGTTGCGCTCAAGAGCTGGTAAGCTGCTTCAGATTTTCATTTTAAGGAAATGAGACGAGGTGAGGCCTTCACTGACGCGGCCCACGCTGGGCCGAGGGTCACTGCCGCCTAAGCCTGGCCTCACAGGGCGCCGCCTGTCTCTGGGCTGGGGCCTGTGTCTTCAGCGGGCGGAAAGCACTTCCCGAGTCCACTGGTCCGCTGGCCGCAGCGTGAGGACCCTGGCGCCTCTGGTTGGAGGTGGCTGGGCCAGAATCAAGGCTGCGCCGGCACCAGCCCACGCTCCACCTGCGTGGCCTGCAGGTGCTCAGAGCGGCGGGCTGATGGCCTTGCGCACCTGTCCTCGGCCACGTCCGCAGCCTCTTCTGCTGGGGAGAAGGCCGAGCCCCGGGGCACAGAGCTGCGGCTCTGCCTCCCAGAGCCTGTGGCGCTCGCTGGGCTTGCGGCTGCGTCCACCGCCCTCCTCCTCACCTCCGGAGGCTCTGTCCTGGCGAGCCGCCCCGACGCCCACGTGCCCTCCCCGGCTCCCCAGTGTGCCCCTGCTGTTGGCGAGTGGGGAGGTTGCGCTGGCCCCGCCCCCCCGCCCGCAGC